TAAAAGATTTAGAGATGGGCATGTATTGTTGAAAAAGGGAGGTGTAAGTTGAATTGTTCAGGCCCAACTTCTTTGGCCCATCTGCCTTGCGTTGGATCAAGTGGAATTCCCTTCTGATGGTCTACCATGCTCCTTGCTTACCGGGCGTTGGGTTGGTGATGGTGATAATCTGTTGGATGGATTCTTGGGTTGCATGGTGGGCGCCTGGAAACATAATGTACAAAATCTGCATGTAAACATTGTGAAAATAGCAAAACGCTCGGACTTGGGATCGAACCCAGGTCCTCTACATTTTCAAACACGCGCTTCACCACTGGGCCACCTGTTTTATTTGTTATAATACTGAAATAAGAATAATATAATACAATATGAGTTAGTATGTTACAAAAACGCACAAAATTTGAATCGTCCACTCACGCCTCGCCACGCCACTGTCTTCTTCGCTGAGATCGTCGTCTTAGGCTAAGACTTTTACCTACATACAAGCGTCTATAGCCATAACCTGTGCACTTCAAAAATCACGTTCAAGCAATATAAATACGATTCAAGACCATGGATCAATTGGGTTTGACCCTCTGATCATAATGGTGTCCTTCATTAGGGCAAATTGTTCCTGCATTTTAAAGCCCTAAAACGACAAGGTAAACCCTAGCCATGGCAAATATGCATACAGGCATCAAAACTTCAATTAAATCATTCAGTCATGTTGCAAACATAACAACAAGCACAAATATACCATTAAAATATGTTCATGATGCAAGAATCATAGTAATTGAATCTAAAAAAGAACGCAAACCGTGTGACGTCTAGGGGGCGATTCTAGGCGTGAGGATGCGTGAAACTGATCGTGTTAGCTTCTGGTAAGGTCCAGGAAACGATTAGGAGTGTTGGAACGGCTTGAATTGCCTTCTAGGTCCAAAAACGATCCAGCACTTTTGTCCAATTTTTGAGTTTTGGTATGGCGTTTTTCCACTGCAAATCCTTGTCCTTGCGCCTTGGTTATGTTCTGTATTTGTACTAGGATACATTAGGTCAACAAAAACGCATTGTATCTTGGTGAATTAAGGAGATTGGATTTGATTTTATCCTTGTATGATATCTTTCCAAAATAGGCCTAATCATGCCAATTTTTGCTTCAATTTTCTTTTCACGACTTGATCTGATATCCAGCTTGATTAGATTGTGATTTCTACAAAAAATCAGATCAAAAATCAATGTTTTGTATTTTTTGAAATTTATTTGATTTAATTTGAATTTTAAATAATAAAAAATTAAAATAAAATAAATAATGAAGCAAATAAAGTGTAGATGCTGATTTGGGTCGTGGACCGTGTCACAAACAAGATTCAATCATGAAAAACTAGGCCCATTTGACAAAAAATGCATTTTTGAGCACATTTGACTTTTGGCAATTTTGCAAAAATGGTCAACTTTGACCAGGCATATATCCTTCAATTTTAATCCTAGAGAGGTGTTCTTGGACTTTTTAGAAATCTTAGGATGTCCCCTAAACAACCCTTTTGGTTTCATCTCAATTGGGTCTTCCATGTTCATGTAAGAAGCTTTGACCCAAAAGGTGTTTTTGTTGACTTTTCAAAAGGACCTATAATGTAGAAATTCATATCTTTTGATGAGTGCATATTTTGAAATTTGTGGCTGGAGATGAATTGTAGGGAATTGCATCCTCTTCAAAATGAGCCATGATGGAAAATTTTTGATAAAGTATGAAGAAGTTATGCTTGGTCAAAGTTTGGTTGACTTTTCCTAAGAAACCCTAATTTAGCAACTTTTGGGTTTTGATGAATTTGGGGCATTCCTTGAGGAATCATGATCAAACCTTGATCAAATGATGGATATCACTTCAAAATGTTGATGTTGACCAAAAATCTTGAAGTTTGACTGTATGTGGGCCACAGTTGACTTTTGACCTAGTATAGTTGATTTTCAGGCATATGAGCAGTTGACTGAGCAAACTTCTTGTGCAAGGCATGAAACTTGACATGGATGATCTTGAGAACATATTTGGACCATGGAGGCATTTGGGATCTTTGTAGTTCGCACATATTGATGAAGATGGAAACCCTAGTTTGAGATTCATTGCTTTAGGAGAGAGTTTGTCTGGTCAACTCTTGGGCATCCTTGAGCAAGTTGGGAACCTCAATGGGCACGTGTTGAGTAAAATGAGAGGGAAAATTTTGGGGTACAACATCCACATTGCAAATGGCCAAGGATCATTCATGAAATTCAAAGGAACTAGAGGCACGTGAACTTTATCAGCATAGAATGACACTTATGACAATTTCTCTAGTGGTGATGACAGTTGGTTTCCATGGTTAACCAATAGTAACCTGCTCTCAAGATTTCCTTAGCCATAGTATGCCCACTGGAGTGAGTACCAAAGATGCCTTCATGCATATCCTCCATAATTTTCTCTACTTCCTTCTTGTCCACACAACGAAGCAGAGTTGAATCATGGTTGCGCCTGTACAGAATTCCATTTCTCATGAAGAACTTATTTGATAACCCCCGTAGGAATTTCTTGTCACTGATAGATGCTCCTTCAGGGTATTCTTGATCCTCTAGGTATCTCTTCACTTCATGAAACTAGGGTTTTTCTTCTACTCCATCAGTGTCAAGTTCATAGCAGTGTGCCGGTTCATCGAACATTTCAATGGTAATTCTGGGAGCCTCATTGTCCCATCTGAGCTTGAACATTGATGACATGGTAGCTAAGGCGTCCACCAACTGATTTTCTTCCCTCGGGATGTGCTCAAACGTAATCTCTTAGAAGTACGAAATCAAGGTTAACACATTCTCTTGGTAAGGGATGAGATTTGGATGTTTTGTATCATATTCTCCCTTGACCTGACTGATTACCAAGGCCGAATCCCCATATATACTCAGGAATTTTATTCTTAAGTCAATAGCAGCTTTAAGACCCAAGATGCATGTTTTGTACTCAGCCATATTGTTGGTGCAATCAAAGCAAAGTCTGGCAGTGAAGGGTGAAACAACCGGCTAAAAATCATCAAACAATGAAGTCGCCATCGAACGTCTTTTATCCCACAGGAAGGGAGAGGTAAACATCGAGAAAACCTGAAAAGGGTGAAATCAAGGTCGAACGACCAAGAGATAAGGGTAAGGGAGTCTGTTACGCGAGGGGAAGGTATTAGCACCCCACATGCCCGTAGTACTCTATGGTATCCACTCTTGTTGTCTATCTTATGGGTGTGTTTAATCTATGCTTACTGTTTATTATTACTAAAGGGAAAATGCATGCAAAAGAAAGGGGAAAAGATGTAGGGAAAATTAAAATTATGCTCGCTTGGACCCTACCCCAATGCCTACGTATCCCTTTTAAGGAATCAGAGCAGCCGTAGTTCGGCTTATGTTTTTGTTGATTTGTATTTTTTAATGAACAATATTAATTTCTCCTTCTGCCGCAACTCGACCTTTGGAGACTTACGCGTCAGCACAGAAGTGAATTAACATGCTCTTTCGGAAAATGTTTGGAGGAAATGTGCCTGGGCGCACAAAAAGTTTGATTTTTGTTTGTGTTTGTAATGAACGATATTAATTTCGCCTTCTGCCGCAACTTGACCTTTGGAGATTTACGCGTCAGCACAGAAGTGAATTAATTTGTTCTTTTGAAAAGTTTTGAAAGAAAGGCCCGAAGGCAAAAAGAGTTTTGTATTTGTTGGTGTTTTTGCTTGTAGGTAACAACTAGTTGACCTCAAGAGAGAGATTTTAGCCATTTCTCTACTTATTCATGAAATGAGTCTTTGAGACTTGAACCATACCAAAGCTTAGAATAAGAGAATAATAAGGTCGAGAAGAAACCCGCTTATCATCTCTCATACTTAACGAAGACATGATTCTCGTCAGTGATTTTTTAAGTATTTTGAAGTTTGCGAGAAAAAGAAGTTTTTGTTTTAAATGCGTATGCAGAAGGGAAAGAAAGTCACATGAAGACTAGCCTATTTCTAAATCTAATTTTATCATGCGTTGTTAGACCTAAGTCAAGGATGAATAAAAGGGAAACGTCTACCTAATGTTAGCATGTACATGGATTACAACAAAGTACAAAAATGAAGAATAAAATGGGATTGTGACGATACCGAACGGAGAAGGTCCGTTGCCTCTTCAAAACCATGCAAGCAAAGAGAGCTCTACAAAAGTTGCTCCGTCCGAGTGATCAAAGAATTAGTTTCCAAGCATTCCTCAGCAAAATTTGTATCAATATTCTATCACAAAATCTTGGCTAAAAAAGGCAACGGAAATGGTTAATAAATATAAACACTAATAGAAAATTCTAATTAAAATTCTAAAAAATAAATTCTAGAGAAATTCTACTATGTGCTACCATCTTTTTTATTATTATTTTTTTTATCAATTAAGAGAAAAAAATTAAACTAGAAGAAAAAACTAAAATAAAAAAAAATTTAGCAAAGTCAAGGGGTGTGAATTTGGCACAGGGATTATTGCAATGAGACTTGGGCGTAAGGCATCAGATTTGAGTCCATGAGGTCCTTTCTTCTCACCCATTCTCCAACTATGCCAAAAATCGTTGGGGCTTGAGGAAATGCCACACGTTAAGGCCCAGTGATTCCAGTCCACCAATTCAATTCAACAAACAACTCATTAATCCAAATAAACTTATAATCAAAATTAACATGATATAAAACAAATAAAAAAACATATAATTGAAAAAGGGTTTGGATGCAATTAGGGTAATACATGTTATTCCTTCCTTCTCTTTCGCAAAAAAACGCAGATGGCTTCTTAGACTCAGCGGTGCGATTCGAGCTTCCTCTTTGTTTTTCCGGGGATCCGCCGTCGCGACTCCTTTCTCTCTTAACTTTAGATGGAGATTGCCGCCGTCTCAATTCCAGTCAATCGTTTGCTTCACCAACCTCTTGGCATTCTCACCTCTTCTTTGTTGTTCCATTCAGATGACACTGTAAACCAAAGAGCCATCGTCGATCTTCGTCATCTCTTCAATGTGCTTCCTCAAACTCGTAACACAACCAAGGCAGCAACAAGAACGAGACGCTCTGATCTCTTCATTTGTGTCGTTGTTGATCGATGCACTCACCTCTTCTCGTGCCCGTCTTCGACTTCTATCAATTCGAACCGTGCATCCTAAATCGACGGCGGGGGAGGCGATGATCTTCTCGGAACAGATCGACTTCAGGTATCACTTTGTTTCCTTTCTCTTCATCTTCTATCGCCCTTCTTTTATTTCCTTTTTTTCGATATGTATTGAAGTAAACACAAAGATGGTGATGATATCGGTGCTATCGCATTAGTGTAGCTGTTGTTGCTTAATGCTATTGCAATATTCATGAATTGATTTCTGATTTGATGCAGAAACGCTGCCATAACGTGTTGTTGTTGTTTGAAGCAGGGATAATGAAGTTGATGGTGTTCATGGTTCTGTGATGAGGATTAAGGAAGTGAAGTTGTGGTGAAGATCATTGCGATTGAAGAATCGTGAAGATTCAAGTGATGATGAGGATTGAAGGGAGATGAAGATGATGACTGAAGCGATTTTCAGAGAGAAAGGGATTGAGAATTTTTCTGGAGTTTTTTGTGGATGAAGATGAGACACCTTCTTCTGTGGACTTTCTGAACGAAAAATCCCCCCTCAACCAAGGTGAATTTACTCTATCTTATACTTTAGAGCTGTTAGGAGTTTTGGTTATGAAATTCTGTTATGGAATTGGTTAAAATTAGTTGTCAAAATTCTGTTATGAGAAAGTTAGTTATTGGAATTGGTTAAAATTAGTTGTCAAAAAATTCTGTTATGAGAAAGTTAGTTATTGGAATTGGTTAAAATTAGTTTGGAGGTTGGAGGAAGTTTGTTAAGTTTGTGAAAGTTAGTTAAAAAAATGCTAGAATTCAGTTAGGACAGTTGAATGAGTTAATTAGAAATTGGTTAGGCGGTTAGAAGGTAGTTAGAAGTTTAGCTTAGAAAAAAAAAACAGTTTGGAGGTTGTTAGAGAGTTTGTTACTCTGTTTGACAGCTAGTTAGTAGAAGTTAGTTTAAGAGGAATTATGTTTTGTTACAAATTCTTAGAACTGAACTGTTAACTGTTATTGATTTTTTGCTTTTTAATCTTTCTATGCAGGGCTGAACTGTGGACGGACTAGGAGTTCCCTCCTGGACATCATTTTCCTTTAGCACCATTTGACACATGTATGCAAGGGTTACTTCTATGTCCACTACATTTAATTTCCACAACGAATTCAACAAAGTACCCTTATTGAGACAAATAAGGGAGTCAACGTTTTTAGGGTAACCACCACTAGTTCTAAATTGCCTGCTGAGTCCTTCTTGATGTTTGTGTGACTTTGTGTATATTTTAACAGGTAAGGATTCGGCAACTTCAACAGGCGCGGGAACAGATCCGATAGAAGATACAGAAAGGTGGGAAGATAAAACCACTGATTGCTGGTGAATTTCATCCAGAACCTCAAACAAGGCTTCAGCAATATGTGCAATCTCAACCCTTGAAAATGGTTCAATCAACCTGCAAAGATTCTGCTCCAAAAGGGTGTCATACAACGATGACAAGTGCCTATGAACAATTGGATCTTCCTCCAACTGCGCCTTGAAGTCTCGTAAACAGTTTCAAATAATTTCAGGGATCTTTTGGAATGAGCATCTGCAACAGCTTTCATTGCATCCAAGTCAGGTCCAACATACTGCAGTCCGGATTTAGAAGATATGATTCCATCAACATCATCAGCTTGACTAACCATGATCTTACACAGCAACATGTATTTTTAGGCTAAAGACAACTTTGGGGTCTTCAAGAGCATTGAAAGACTCAAAAGCTTCAAAGAAATAACTATATGCAGTTTTGTAATCCTTCTCTTTTTATCAGTAAATTTGGAATTGAACATAAAGCTGTCATTTGGGGATATTGTTTTAGTGTTAGGCTCCTTAAGAAAATATCAATGATGTTGCAAGTCCCCCGTGAGTAAATCCATGAAAGTTTTATGTGCTTAGTTTTTTTTTGTTTGATAAAATCCTTTGAAAACTTCTACACACTTAACCACTTTTGCAGGAAGATTGAGATCAAAAGATTTATAACTAGGCCATCCAGGGTCTGCATTAGGATTATTGTTTAAATACTCCTCAAAGCTAGTTTGATTCTCTTTTGCCAGCGTCAAATCTGTAACCATTCCTTCCATCTTCGAGGTAAACTGTCCTCCACACTGTTGCTTCAATTTGGTCAAAATACTTCTCTCATGATCATCATCGGCACTCTTGTAAAAAAGAAGCCTTCGAGCAAGCTTTTTCCTGTAGAACTCAGCAAACAAGTCTTTGTCACTAATATAGGCGAGCAGCTTTACCACCTTTTCAAGAGTTTCTTCAATTGCTTCATCACTCAATTTTTCACTTCCTCCTTTCTTGAGAATGTTATCATAATAAGTGGCAAGAAGTTCTGCACCAGAGTTTCCAGCAACACCTTTGTTGCAAAAGACCTCAAAAGCCTCTTTAAGAGCCTTGTGGAAAAGAGTGTGATTCTGGAAACATGAGTTCACATATGCTTTCTCATATCTTAAAATATCTTTAGATGTCAAGTATATCCAATAATTTTCAAATAACCTCTAAATCATGAAATATGGAATAATTTAGTCCACAAGAGTTAACTTAGTTTTCATCCACGAAGTCTCGTTGGACTCTTCCAATTCTGCTTGAATCAAATTATTGAACAAAACTGAAGCTCATTCTCACACAAATATAATGTTTTGAGGAACTGATAACGAAGATGGAAATATGGAAGAAGTATAACCAAGATATCCTTAAAACTACTAATCCACCTTGACTTGTATTATGAGCAAAAACTAACAATGATGAGAACAAAAATGGCCTTGATCAACGTGAATATATGGTACCATTCCTTATGTCATAACCTCATACTTTTCAATTCAACCCCACAAGTCCTTTGTCTTGTCAAAAAATGTCTTTGTGGGATCCTTGAAGAAGATAAAATTTAAAGCATAGAAAGATATCCTCTAATTATCTCTCATTGACGAACATCAACAAACTCACACACAAGATGCGATACCTTAACCCACTTGTATTAGGTGCACAGTGACGACTTGAGACATGGATAGAATAATGTTCAAAATGTCTTTGAAATGAAACAAAGCATGATCTTCCAATAGACATGGGGAAATAAACCCAAATCTTCAGACTTAACAAATAGAACCTTGCAACTTGATTTTGAGATGAAGAGAATAAACTCGTAGCTTGATAAAGAAGAAATCCACAACAACCATCAATCACAAGAAAACCCGAGCTTCACAACCAATGATTCTCTGAAACAAAACCTGAATTGGTTAATTGGAGAGTGGATGAATGACACGTCAAAGTCATTAAGCCTGATCAAATGATAAGCACACTTATATGAGGAAACGTCTTGATTCGAAGACCATGTATGCTAAGTCATGCCCTTGAGTTCTTGACAAGAAAAACCTGTAACATGTTGTTTATCAGAAGATAATAGCCTTGTTGCTTGAGGGAGAAGAAGTCAAAAAATGAGAATGAACCAAAACCCTAATTCCACAACTTGTTGCCTGAATAAGAAATCATCCTTTATTGGATACGAGTGCCTTAACCACTGTGAAACCCTAGTATCGCACAACCACTGAACTTTGAACCTCAGAGCTATATTGAATGAAATGTATGCCATGTTATTGACCTAATGAAATAGATGCAGATGAATGCAAAAGTATAAGCCAAAATAAAAGAAAATAGGAGGGCAAATTTTGGGGTGCAACAAAGGGTGTATGGAAACCTGCGGGGAGATGATTACTGCACCAATTTCATTTCCGAGTGCATTAGAAGCTCAATCAAAAACCATAGTCCATCGGGGTCCTATCTCAGGTACTTCATATGGTCCAGGTTCTTCAAAGTATGTTATTAGCATGATGTTCTCATCCGGGAATTCAAAGTTCATGGATTGATAGTCATCTACTGCTTGATGTGCCAAATGATCTTCCAATATACTTCCTTTGATTTCCTTTTGAGTGGTGTACTGGATGTCATATTCCAGTAAGATCATTTGCCACCAGGCGATTCTTCCGGAGAGAGCTGGCTTCTCAAATATATACTTGATGGGATCCATTTTAGAGATCAATAGAGTAGTATGAGTCAACATATATTATCTTAGTCGGTGAGAAGCCCATGCCAAAGCGTAATATGTTTTCTCGAGGAGTGAATATCTTGTTTCACAGTCGGTAAACTTTTTGCTAAGGTAGTATATTACATGCTCTTTTCGACTAGACTCGTCATGTTGCCCCAGCACACACCCTATTGAGTTCTCTAACATTGTTAAATACATGATTAGAGGTCTCCCTTCAACTGGTGGCATCAGAATCAGAGGTTCTTGTAAGTACTCCTTGATTTTATCAAAATCCATTTGACAGTCATCATTCCATTTGACTACTTAATCTGTCTTCAACAGTTTGAAGATTGGCTCACAAGTAGCGGTCAAATGAGGGATGAATCGAGAAATGTAGTTTAGTCGTCCTAAGAAACCTATGACCTCCTTCTTGGTATGGGGAGACGACATTTCTTAAATAGCTTTGACTTTTGCAGGATCGACTTCAATACCTTTACCATTAACGATGAAACCTAGGAGTTTTCCAGACCTCACCTCAAAGGTACATTTGTTTGTATTCAGCCTTAGCTTGTATTTCTTTAGCCTTTCAAATAATTCGTGGAGATGATCAAGATGTTCTTATTCAGTTTGTGATATTGCTATCATTTCATCAACGTAGATTTCTATCTCATGATGAATCATGTCATGAAATAAATCTACCATAGCCCGTTGATAAGTTGCACCTACGTTCTTCAGTCTAAAATGCATACTTTATAACAGAAGGTGCCCCACTGTGTGACAAAGGTAGTTTTCCCCATGTCTTTAGGCGCCATTTTGATTTGGTTGTACCCTGAGAATCCATCCATGAAGGAGAATACCTTGTGTTGAGCAGTGTTGTCAACCAAGACATCAATATGTGGTAGTGGGAATTCATCTTTGGGGATCTCCCTATTTAAACCCCCGTAGTCTACACACATACAGACCTTACCGTGTTTCTTCGGTACTGGAACGACATTTGCAACCCATTGGGGATAAGACGTCACTTCCAAGAAACCTGCATTGAACGGTTTCATTACCTCAACCTTAATTTTCTATGACATATCAGGACACATGCTACAAACCTTTTGTTTGATAAGAGAACAACCCTCTTTCATTGGTAAATGATGAACCATGATATCAGTATCGAGCCCTGGCATGTCTTCGTATGACCAAGCGAATACCTCAACATAGTCGTGCAACATCTGAACCAAATTTCTCTTGACATTATCTCCCAGGTTAATCTTGACTTCTTTCTTATCTGCCTCGGTACCCAAGTTTATTACCTCGAACAACTCTTCATGTGGTTAGATAGCCTTTTCCTCTTGTATCAGGAGTCTCGAGAGTTCTCCATGTATCTCACAATCTTCTTCACCTTCGTCTTCAGCTTGATATATTGGATTTTCGAAGTCATAAACGCCAATAGCAAAATTGTTGTCAATGAGATACAGAGTGGATGGGGATCTGCAATGTAGTGTGTGGGTGTGTGTAAGAACACATAGCTATTTGAAAGTGCAAATAAAGTAAAAGAAAGACAGAGAGCATAAAATTTGAATGCAAAATGTCCAATGTTTTCATTAAATGAAAATATGACATATGAAATGACAACCCTTAACAAATGGACCATTGTGCCCCGGGAAAGACACAAGGTTTAAATTCATTGTTTAAAGAGAAATCACATAACCAAATTTCTTAAAGCGATAAAAACAGAAATAACTATTACTCCTGGATGAAGGAGATTGGTACAAAGTATTTAGTCTGCTAGTTCTTGAGTCCACCACCATCAATTTGGAATATCCAGTCATCCAAGTCACCCTCACTATCAGTGTCTTCCAGAACATTGACTTCATTGTTGCTAACACAGAAAGGTGGTCCTCCAGTACAAACACGACGAACCTCTTTCTGACCTTTTAACGTGAATCCTAGACCAAATTTGTCATACTTGTAGGGGATATCAAGAAGCTGTCCCCAAATAGTGCAATCGCCTTCTTCTACTACAGCTCTAGCATCCTTCAGAGAAGATATTCTTGGTGAATCCTTGATGATCTTAGGAGTAGCAAGAGTAGCTTTAGCAACGTCAATCGTCGGATGGATTACTTCAATGCCTTCCAAGGTGTTTCAACGAATTCACCATCCATTTCAACATATTTGAAAGAATTCAAATGTCTGACCATATATTCTTTCTCTCCACAATATGTGACGATCTTCCCTTTCACTGGATACTTCATCGTTTGATGCAGAGTAGAGGTAATTGCGCCTGCCCCATGAATCCAAGGGCGTCCGAGCAAACAGGAATAGGCCGAGCGGATATCCATAACATAAAAAGTGGATTTGAAAACTTGAGATCCCACCTTGATCAGAAGATCAACCTCTCCGTGTACCATCCTTTTATATCCATCAAAGGCTCTTACCATAATATTGTTGGGTTTCAAAAACAGTCCTTCATAGTCCAATCTATCCAGAGCACCTTTTGGTAATACATTCATGGAGGAACTTGTATCAACTAACACATGCGCCAAAGTAGTGCCTTTACACTCAATAGAGATGTGCAGAGCCTTGTTATGATTCTTCCCCGTCGAATTTAAGTCTGCATCAGAAAAGCCTAAACCATTATCAGCAGTTAGGCTTGCAACACAATTCTTAAACTGATCAGTAGAGGGCTCTTGTGGTACATGTGCATTCTTCAGAAATTTCAACAAAGCCTTGGCATGGGCTTCGGAACATAATAACAAGGATAACATGGATATTTTTTAGGGTGTTTGCCCTAGTTGTTCAACTATTTTGTAGTCACTTTTACGAATGATCTTTAGAATTTATTCCATTTCTTGTTTAGAGGAGTCTTCAATTGTAACATCTTTTTAGGGTGCCTCCGTTTGGGTAGGCTCAATCACTTTCTTTTTTCCCCGGGCTTCAGCAGTTAACCCAGCAACAGGAATATCATTAGGTGTATTGATAGTCTTTGGAGGAGAGATCTTTAGGGAGAAGATCCTTCCCGTTCGGGTAAATTTACTAGTTCTAAAAATATTATCGACATTGGTAACTACAGAATCTTCATCTTCGATGATCTAGGGCTCTTGTCTAACATCGTGGTAATAAACTTTTGTTCCATAGTTCCAAGGAACAACTTTGTCAGAGGAATAGGGGATTAGCCCTGGTGCGATGATGATCATGGGAGCCACTCTTAGCTCAACAGGAATCCTTATAGAGCCTCTAGAGGTGATCCTTATAGGAGTATTGGAAATTGTGATTATAGAAACATCTTTAAGTCTCATTTCTTGGGATATACTTTCATGCAAACTTCTTCAGCCACACATAACCATTAATTTGGGAAGCACAATGGTAACAATTTTTAGGACAACCCAGAAATAAATCGGTCTCAACATGTTCTTCTTAACGGTCATCAAGGGAGTGGTCAAGTCACTTGTGATGGAGACATAGGAAACATTGTCAAGAGCATTAATACCTTTACCATTACTGGGAATGGACGCAATAATTATATTAGGGGTTTCTGGAGGGTCAAACTCAATCACTTTGTTGTCAATTAAATCTTGGATTTTGTTCTTCAACGCCCAACAGTTGTTGGTGTCATGCCCATGACTATTTGAATGATAGGTGTTGTACCCCAAAATTTTCCCTCCCATATTTCTCAACACATGTCAAGTGAGGTCCCCAAATTGCTCAAGGAAGTTCAAAAGTTGACTAGACAAACTCTCTCCTAAGGCAGTCTACCTCAAATTAGGGTTTCATTTTTCATCAAGATGCTTGAGTCCAAAGGATCCCAAATGCTCACCATTGTCCTAATATGTTCCTGAGATCATCCATGTCAAGTTTCAAGCCTTACAGAAGAAGTTTGCTCAGTCAATTGCTCAAATGCCTGGAAATCGACTGTGCTAGGTCAAAAGTCAATTGTGGCCCACATACAGTCAAACTTCAAGATTTTTGGTCAACATCCTCATTTTGAAGTATTATCTATAATTTTATAAAGGGTTGATCATGATTCATCAAGTATTGCTCACAATTCATCAAAACC